GGAGATAGGGTTCCCCCTACCAGGGTGTGGAGTTTTTGATAATTCTAAGTTAAAATGGAGCATGGCTTCCTTGAGGCCAAAATTACTATCAGACAGGTCACAGTTGAAGACTGTGGCCACATGTGATCCCTGGTCAATCAGAATTTTATGGTTGCCAGAGGATCTGCTCCCCAGGGTAAGGGGGCGCATGGCCATGGCATGAGGGCTCTGTGCTCCGTTCCTTGTTTATGATGTAATATGATGTTCAGATTAAAAACAAAATTAAAGTACACTCACTCTTGCCATTTCTTCCTCTGATAAATCTTTTCTAGCGGCTAGTTCAGCAGCTTGTTTGTTTTTCTTTTCTCGAATTAGTTTTTCTCTCTCTGCATTAGACTTCTTTGCATCACTTGCTTCCTGTTGTTGAGCGTTGTCATCCAATTTACCGTTCAGATTGGTACGTTCTTCACCATGTCGTTTCCTCATTTCTTCCTGTACACGTTCATGCTCACGGATAACCGCTTGTTCTTCCATGGACAACCCGGCGATGTTCACATCAGATTTCAATCCCGAGGTCAGATCTGGAGCATCAAGCTTAGAACCTTGCAATTCTTCATCAGCACTCAGCCTCTTGAGGGCGTCCTCTTCAGCTTTACGTGCAGCCTCTTTCTGTTTACGCTTTCTGCGAGCTGCCAGTTTGGCTTTAAGTTCAGCTTCTTGTTTTTCCGCTGTGCGACAATTCAAAATCAAGGTTTTCAGCGTCTCGTCTGTACTGGTCAAGCATCTGTTGTAGTATGACAGGATCCACTCCATATTTTGAGAGCTGAAAAAAAACATTACAGGCTACTATGGAGAATCTTGTAAAAACGAATCAAATTCTTGGTAAACTAGAAATCAGTACATGGGTTTCTTTGCAGCAAAGTCTGGCAAACAAATCTACTAATCTTTTTTAAATGAAAGACTGTAATCTGCACAATTTATGATTTTTGGAAGGAGGACATTTATCGGTACGTTTCTGTGACACTCAAGGAACCAAACCAAACAATTACTGCTGCCAATAGAATTTGATTTCTCAATTATTGACTACATGTAAGTTTACAAAAACCATTTAATTCAATTAATACTCACCTTTTGCATTACACCTCTGTGTGCTTCCTGCATCTCTCGTGTCTTCTCTTCATCGATATTTCTTCGGATGTCTTTCTCATGCATAGCCTCTTCTGATTCTAATTCAGCTTCCAGAGCCTCCATTTCTTGTTTCTGTCGTTCAGTTACCGCCTTCATATCATCCTTGGGTCCAAGCTATCAGAATGATGCAATTGATAACGATATTGTAATGTTTTATAACATCACCCTCTTAAACCCTCCATGGCAAGCAAGCAATGTGTTAACAATGATAATCTGCAGGTTTTTTTCTAGAAAAAAACTGCAAGAGCACTGT